CATATCATATGATTCATTTTTCTCCTTAATATTTTATAAGGAATATGCTATCAATTACATATTTTATCTTCAGGATAATAAATCATGATATAGCTCTTCTAGAACGTTATTTTTTATCTTTTACCCAATGGTGTACTCATGGAAGGTTGAGCGCTACTGACTCTTCTAGAGCCTTTTTCAAAAGGCATATGAGATATAAGGAATGCCATTAATATTAATAATAACAAATTCCATCCAATATAATTCACACTTGTATTTCAACAATCTCCCTCTCAAGTGTGAGTCATATAAATATATTTTTTTATTTCTATATTTCAAATAGAGTGAATAACATATAGTAAGCTAATAACATATCTTTAATTTGAAAATCCAAATGCTTCCTAATTCAGATTTAATAATGAATTTCAATCCAATTGCGCTATCACCTTAAGACCATTTGATAAACAAATATTCTAATATATATGTTTGTGGGTCATGATTTTCATTATCAATTACCAGTTCTTTAGAAACTATATCAACCTTTTGTTATTAGTTCTTCTAGAACTATATCAATTTTTTTGATTATATATAATTCTTCAGAAATGCTCTATATACTTATTCAGGAACTAACATATATTGTTTTTTCACCATATGATATACTTTACTTCTTGTTATGCTTTTTCAGAATATGAACTATATATTTTTTTTTTCAAAACATAAAACTTTTTGGATATTTTGTAATTTAAAAAATTCACTTCTTTGTATATATATTATGTAATTATTCAAAACTTATTCATAAATTTATAAATCCAACCAAAATTTGAAAAGATCTATAAGGACTAAAATCAAACAATATAGTTATGAAGATTTAAATCATAAGCTTTTAGAGCTATTTATAAGTCATTAGTCTTCAAGACTCTATATAGTAAATGTATATATTTTAAAAATCATTTGTGGCCCTTAATATTTGAACCATAAGCCTTTGGGACTTTAAGAAAAATCATAAGTTATTATTTTCATATCATTCAATAACATGAGTGTAATGGTTGCTGGCCATTTAGTAGTAGGAAATTATAATATTAATAAATATCAAATTGAATGTCAAGAATATATGAGAATAAGATAAGAATAAAATTAAAATTTTAAATTAATTAAATAAAACATGAAATAAGGAGAAAAGATAAACTCTTTTATCAACACATCCTTCACTATATAGTCATTAGGTTTCTGGGCTACATTATTTATAATTTTAATTGTCATAATTTTTTTTATAAATAAACCATATAATGATCCTTCTTAGAATCAAAAATATATAGCTTCAGGCTGTTTAATTATATAAAAAGAAAGATACATGGCACTAGCCGTTTAATTTCAAAATAAGAAAATAAAGACATATGGCTTCTGATCATAAGATAGAAATTTGATGTTATATGGTTTCTAGCCAATTAATAAAATGAAAAAAAAATCAAATATTTATGACTTCTGGTCATAAGATAGAAAACCAAAGTTACATGGATACGAGCCATTTAATAAGATATAGAAAAATTAAATATATATGGGGCTTCTGGCTATAAAATAGAAAGTACAAATTATATGGCTTCTAGTCTTTTAATGAGATAAAAAAACAATTTAAATATATATGGCTTCTGGCTATAAGATAGAAAATTAAAGTTATATGGCAACTAGCCATTTAGTAAGATAATATATATATATATGGTTTTTGGCTATAAAATAGAAAATTCAAATTATATGGTTTCTAGTCATTTAATAAGATAAAAATAATCAAATATATATGGCTTTAATGAGATAAAAATAATCAAATATATATGGCTTCTAGCCATAACATGAAAAAGTTATACCTAAATACTTCTAGTCATTTAATGAGATAAAAATAATCAAATATATATGGCTTCTAGCCATAACATGAAAAAGTTATACCTAAATACTTCTAGTCATTTAATGAGATAAAAATAATCAAATATATATGGCTTCAAGCCGTTTAAAAAAATAGAAAATTAGCCCCATATATATGGCAAAATCAAAGTTGTATAGCTTCTAGCTATAATATAGAAAATCAAAATCATATGGCTTTTAGTCATTTAATTTGAAAAGAATGGAAAATCAGAGTTATATGGCTTCTGGCCATTTAATTACAATGAGATGAAAACTTAGAATTATATGGCTTCTAGCCATTTAATTTTAGAAAGTAACTTTTTAAGGATATTGCTAGTATCTATTGAAAGTTCGGGTTCCAACGAAATAGTGACGTCAGGTCAATAAAGGATAGAGGGGGGAAAAATCCTCTTATCATAATTAGTTTGGAAGATATAATATCTATATCAAAATTAAATTGCAGCACTAAAAAGTAAAATAAAATCTCCAATCATAGCCATGGAACCCGATGTTTAAAACAACAGTAGATAATCCTTTTAATTCCATATAATGGCTTAAATTATCCTAGATAAATTGAATAGGAATATGGATACTCTGAAACACCATATATATGATGCTCGAGATATTTTTATTTGAACAGAGCAAAGGATACTCTAGAAAAATAATAAAGATGATGCTCTAAAATTATGCTCAGGTATAAAGGTATATCATACGCATCTTGGTTAGAGTTTCGTGCTGATAACATGTTATAAATAAGGAAAAAATATAGAAGAATGATACAGAGGAAGAGAGGATCAACAAGAGAGAGTATTTCACATTCCATTTAAGTGTGCTCAATACATTATAATAATATGAGATAATTGTGGGATATAGAGATAATGGGAGATAATAGGAGATATAAGAGATAATAGGAGATATATGGACATCAACAAAGATATTATTATGTTCGTAACAGTTTTAAAAATATTAAGATCTGAATCTTTGAAATGCGTCAATCTCACTACTAGGAAAAGAAGAGGTGGGAAGAGGGAGGAAACGAAAGGAAGAGAAGAGACTTCAAATTTTCATTAATATTGATATTCATCATATATGATAAATTCAAATTGAATAATAAATTAAAGACTTCCCTAATCATCTCAACCCTAGGAGCCCTCTTGGACAACTTTGGCGTCCCATACAAAACAAATAATGCAATCAAAGCACTACGCCAATAATGGCCGTATTTAATTTCTTCCCACAAGTGGCAAGAATTAAAAAAAACTGGAAATTATTTAATTTCCTGATATGGATTAATTTCTGTATGGATCCATGGGATGAACTCATGAAAGGTTAATTTATATATTTGATCCATACTGAACATGTAAGATGTAATATTTTAAGTTTTACGTAATTAAATATATCACCTCCGCTCTGCACATATGTGCCCACAGAATATTATATTTATGGCATATGCATCGTGTAGATGCTCTCTCTCTCCCCCCCTCATATTGATATTGTATGAGAATAGTTCATCTTTTTTTTTCCTCTTGTGACGTGCGGGATAAATGATATTTTAGAAGTTTTTGAACGATTGTATTTGTTTTTATAACATTTTAATTATATTGAAGTCGAAGAAGATGGGATAAGTTTTAAAAATTTGAACGGAAAATTGAAATTGTGGAAAATAATTGAAAGAAAATATTGCATATAGCCTATAAAATAAAATTGTACTAATGTCTTATGAATAATATGACTCTATTTAAGCGTTACATTTTTTTCCCCTATCTTTCTGGCTTTAGAAAAATCATTTTTTGCCTGACTTAGGTCCCGGTAGGTGAATCTCTTTGGTCATGTTCCTTTCTCAAATTCATCATCCATCGAAGCATCAAAGCTCTTACCTTCTTCCCTTCTTCATGTAATGTTTCTTCATATCACTTGCCAAGATTGAATTGAATGACCAAGATGAGATGATTGTCTACTTCAACCCAATACCATGTAGAAACAGAAAATCCAACACACACCCATTCTGGCAAATCGTCCTTCAAATCGTCACTCTCTTTCATCTGCTTAATGGAAAATTCCGTGCTCTGGGAGTCAACTACACAATCCGACTCAGATCCCGGCATTCAGGTGGACATGAATATAGCGAGGGCGAAAAGGGGAATAAGGTTTGGGGTATTATACATTTTAAATATTTTCAATATTATACAGATTATAAAATTATACATATGTGTGTAGACATATAGACGCCCGTCCCGTCTTAGTAAATGACCAGAATTGGGACGAGCCCAACATGACCGGCCAAGAACTTTGGTTTGGACTTTATTCTTTAATATAATATCCCATTCACTTTTCAACAAGAGTTGGTCTAGTTAGTCAGAGTTGGCTTATAATTTATAAGGTCGTGAGTTCAAATAACATTGTCGATGTAAGGACCTCGTTGGTAAGCGATTTGTAAGTTGCTCCTTTCGTTTCTAAAAAGAATTAGAGGATGTTTTCAAATATACCCTAATAAATGACTAAACCATAAAAAATTGCATCTAGAATGATACAAATATTTACATCTTAACTAAGAGTGAAATCCGAAAGGAGAAAAAATTTAGACATCAACCAACTTTAACTACTCTTTTTTGGTATTCTTGAATTTTAAAACTGTCTATATAATTAGTAACGGAAGAAGTATTAAATAGAAGGGATGTCTCAGAACAATTATCATAAATTGTCGACAAATTAATCAAAAATAAAAGGCTTAAATTTTTTTCAAACTCATATCAATTATTTTAAAAAAACCTCCTAAAATTAGGACCCCAAGGAATGTTCTTTTTATATAAAATAAACTGTAGGCCTGTGAACACAACTAGATGTATACCTAATGGCTGCTGAACATGGCGTCTGCGTGGGTGCCTTTCCCAGTGGGTCATTGCTTTGAAAATTCGTAGTCTTCGCCAATTGCAATTAGGCTTCAGCTGCCATAGTGGCCACTTGCACTTTCATAGATTGCATTGTCAACATCACTTTTGCCGATAATTGCTATCGCATCGTTCAATGATTTGGAAAATGGGAAAATGCCAAGAAACAACTCAATCCCACCGATCGATCTTTCTTTTCTCTTCTTCCTTTTAATAATTTTGTCTGATAGATGAAATTCTCATTCCTCCTTCTTCGTCGTTTCCAAACACCAATCAATGCCTTAATATCCTTTGCTCTGTTAACCTCTCTTTCCCCCTCCTCCTCCTTCTTCTTCCAAAACATGTTTCAACCTCATCTGCTTCCTCTAATCACCTTCATGTTCTGGTCATGGCAGATTCTTGAGGGCGTCGTTTCGGACCCCCAGATCAATTTTTTGACCAGAGGGTGCAACCCATACAACGAATACCTGGTGGCCAACGTCTCCCTCTTTGAAGCAAACATCAACGCAACGCTGCGAGACATCAGAGAGCAGATCAGTGGTCAAAACAAGCACTTCGCCACCGCACAGCAAGCTGCCAGTGGTGGAAACACCGTCTCTAGTCTTTTTCAATGTAGAAGCTATCTCTCCATCCCCGACTGCGTCGCCTGCTTCGACGTTGCTACCCCTCAAATCCTCAGCTGTGCTGCCGGCGAACCAGGTGGCCGTGTTGTCTACGACGGATGCTACCTCAGGTACGGATTTGGGGTCTTTGCTACTTCCTCAATTTTTCCGACTTCCCAAATTTTTTCCCTTTTTGAAAGCTAGATTCTACCTTCAAAAAAGGTGACATTTTTACATCCTATTGGCAAAACCTTTTCAAATTTTTAAAATATTTTTCAACAAATTTGAATCAAATTAAAAAGAAACAAAAATCTTTAAATAAAAAGTTTAATTCCATAAGATTAATAAATTATATGAAACCTTCTTAAATTTTGACCCATGTGCAAACGACTCCATTAAATTTTTAAATCTTGATAAAAGAACTTTGTTAACTTCTAAGTTTGTGATTTGTATGTGAAGGTACGACATTAGTGTCGCTTTCTTTGGTGCTACAACACAGTCTATCAATAGTGCATCATGCGGGAATAAGACTACAACAGAAGAACCTGCTACTTCATTTACCTCAGCTGTTCAACAAATTCTAATGAATCTCCAAACAGCAACTCCCCGAATCACTGGCTTCTCTGTAGCTACCAAGACACAAGTTCCTAATAGTGGTCCAACTATTTATGCATTTGCTCAGTGTACAGAAACTATCACTCAGAGTGAGTGCCAGAACTGCTTGAATGTTCTAGACAACAATATGCAGAGTTGTCTTCCCAATTCAGAAGGTAGGGCTTTTGCTGATGGCTGTTTCTTGAGATATTCCACAACCTCCTTCTTTGCTGATAATCAGACTATTGATATCGCACCCTCCTTCAAGCAAGGTACATATTGGTCTTCACATCATTTATATCACACTCAGCTTTGCTTTGGATGCATTTAGATGACAAAGTGTTAAAGAGCTATATTAATAATGTAAGGTATCATACTTTTTTTTCCCCAGGAATTATTATCATATGTGGCAAGGACTCATATTGTGAACGACTTTGAAAATCTGTTCTCTATTTTCCTGTTTTTTTAGGTTCAAGCAATAATAAGGGAGCCATTATAGGGGGTGTTGTTGGAAGCGGAGTAGTTCTTGCTTTGATCTTTGTTGCATTGTACGTCTGGATGAGACCACTAAAAAGGCCAACTAGGAGGGTTCCTAGAGGTGAGCATATTAAAATGACTTCAACTATTATATATTAGTTTTTAGTGATTTAATTTCAGGCTTTTGGTTTTCTCTTTTTCCATGAATTTACAGAAACGAAACCTTGATTTTGTTTTCTTCCTTTAATAATTTTGGGAAAAGAGACCTCCTCTTGACTAACATTCTCCTTAATAGGAGACGTTATAGGAACAAGCAAGTTGAAAGGCCCATCTATTTATAATTATAACGACCTGAAGACTGCAACCAAGAACTTCAGCGAAGAAAACAAGCTAGGACAAGGAGGATTTGGTGTTGTGTATAAGGTAACATTATTTTATTTTCCAATATGTAATTTCATCTAGATAAGCAAGGATGTCTAAAATTAAGTGAGTTTTATATAGTGTTGTAACAAGCTAGACTTTCAGGAGAAACAAAACGTCTTCTTTTTTTTTGGACCTTGAGGAGAAACAAAACGTCTGAAAGCATGCTTTTGATTAAAAATTTTAATAATGAATAGGGCACTTTGAAGAACGGAAAAGAAATTGCAATCAAGAAATTAACATTTCGTCATTTCACGAGGATGGAGGAGGAATTTGAAAATGAAGTGAAGCTTATAAGCAATGTTCATCATCGGAATCTCGTTCGACTCCTGGGATATTGTATTGATGGCAAAACTAGAATTCTTGTTTATGAATACATGAAAAATAGCAGTCTTGACATATTCTTATTCGGTAACCTTCTCTCAATTAACCAATCTTATATACTGTTTTTCTTAACATTTGTGACATTAATTAACAACATATCATCATCTCCTCTAGCTATCGAACTTATTGATATGGCATAATTTTATTCGACTGAGTAAAATCTAAATCCATTTTCTATTTACATTTTTTAAGCAAGGAACACTTCTATGTTTCTTTTGATGCCTTTAATACTCCTGCTCAAAGTTTGTAAACTTGAAAATAGGTGAAATGAAAGGCTCACTCAATTGGAAGCAACGATATGATATAATTTTAGGCATTGCAAGGGGTCTAGCCTATTTACATGAGGAATTCTATGTTTGTATCATACATAGAGATGTAAAACCTAATAACATTCTCTTGGATGAGGATCTTCAACCTAAAATTGCTGATTTTGGGTTGGCAAGGCTTCTTCCTGAGGACAAAACTCATCTCAGCACCAACTTCGCTGGAACATTGTAAGTTGAAACAGTTACGTTTATCTGATTTTCTTAACTTCTATTGAAATCAATTATAAATAGCATGCTGATAAAATCTATAGTATCATCACTAGCTAGAACAATGTTATCACACTAATAAATACTTATAACTTTTCTTTATCTTGTTTTTTCAACCTGAATTTCAAAAACAAGAGTTCATGTGTGTCTAGCAAAGCATGATATTGCGTTGTTAATAATCTCTTTCATATTTTGTCATCTTTTAAATTTTATGTATTCTTGTTTGTGTCAATGTTTTGGCTAAGTCATAAATATTATACATATTTTTCAGAGGATATTCAGCACCGGAGTATGTAATTCACGGCCAATTATCTGAGAAGGTTGATGTTTATAGTTATGGTGTTGCGATCTTGGAGATTATAAGTGGCCAAAAAAATAAGAAACTAGGAGTTGATGGTGATAATGAAGGCGAATTCCTCCTCCGAAAAGTAAGAAAATTCTTATGGCTAAATAGAAAGACATATTTCAAGGAAAATTAGGATAGCTTTTTCAACAACTCAACACTACTTGATTGACTTTATTAGAATATTTATTCCTTCTTTATTTCAGGGCCAATCATAAATATTAAAAAAACAATAATCTCAATTTTGTTTTGCCCCATTTACCCCTCTTATTCAGTTGCACTTTAATCCTACTTGTTAGGCTTGGAAGTTATATGAAGAAGGTGTACATGCGGAGCTAGTGGACGATACCTTCGACCCTAATGATTATGATGTAGAAGAAGTGAAGAAAGTCATAGAGGTTGGTTTGCTTTGCATCCAAGCATCTGCTGAAATAAGACCAACAATGTCTGAGATTGTTGCTTTGCTGCAAAATAAGGACCTGTTAGAGAATATGAAACCCACTATGCCTCTCTTGATTGAAACAAATTAGAGACTACTCCTCTACTTCTCCTATCTTGATTGTAATGAAATTTAAAGTTAGGGATGACTTTTGAGTTCTGAAACCCAGATAGGAAAATAGAAGACGAAGGTAAAAATAGAATAGATGATTGTCTTTTATTCCATTCTTCAGCATTTTGTTGTTGTAATTATTATTCATCAATATAATCTGAGCAAGTGTATATATGTAATTTATCATTCAGGAATACAGTTTTGATAAAAGCCCATTAAAGCATATGGAAAAAAGTGACATCAAGAATGCATTTTTTTAATCAATAAAGCTAATTTTATAACTAAAATGAATTTTTCATTGACATTACTTATTTCTCATTATATTTACATATGCTAATGAAAATGGTGCCCTTATATTTGCAAGTTCCTCTTCGAAATGGTAAATCAAGAAAACTGATCAAATTTTGTGCAAGCGAGATAAGGTGGCTGACAAGAAAATCAAATTAAAGTAAAAACTCTCTCAACGAATAAAAAATCAGTCAAGTTTATAGCTTGATTTAAAATTTTTATATTTTCATTAATGTTGATAGTGATCATAATGATAATTTCAAGTCCAATAATAAATTAAAGACTTCCCAAAATAAAGCAACTTTTTTTTAACTTCTGGCTTTTGATTTTTTTTTTAAAACTTAAATGCTTTGAAACTGACTTTTTAATATATCATTCAAACAATTTTTTGTCAAATTGTCCTTTTTATAAAAGCTCGTACCAACATAAATCATATTACATTAAAGAAAAATGCTAGATTAACCAAACTGACCAAATTTTGTGCAAGAGACGGCAATGCAACGTGGCTGAAGATGAAAGAGAATCCAAATCCATAGAACACTCCTAAAGAAATGCATAAAGTTGAGATTTAGTGTAAAATACCCCTACTAGGTGGGGTTTGGGTGGGGAGCGATTTATATAGCATTCCCTCTACAAGCGGAGCAATTGTTTTTAGGATTTGAATCCGTGATCTCCAAGTCACATGACAAGAAAATCAAAGTGAAAAATCTCTCAATGACGGAAAAAAATCAGTCATTGAGAGAGAAGGTTAGAGAGAGAAGCTCTCTCTTGGAGTTTGTGACACGACCCTCCTGTTGGCCCTCCTAGAGGGCCCCTGAGAGTTGAATGCCCCTCCCACTGCCCACTGCGGCAGGGAAAAAAGTGAACCCATTCCCACACTCTGGGATTTGAAAGCGCCAAACCAATCCCATTATACCCCTGTTGGAAACAATGGAACAAAACGTCAACATGTAGCTAACGGAAAAGAATGAGCGTTCTCCAGGGCTAGGAGAAAATAGAACTATAAAGAAAATCAAGATGCAGAGCCCCCCTGAAAATGCGACCACCATGGAAACAGAGGAACTGGAGATAGCAGAACAGGCTCCAACCCCGGACTGGTCAAGCATACAGAAACAGCTTTTCAATGAAGACGCAACTATACAGCAGAGAGAGGGTCTACTTTCGCCACATGGCACGCACGTGGAGACTCTGGGATCTCAACCACCGATCTCATTCAAAGACAAACTCATGGGAAATCAAAAAGATAGCACTGAGTCCACGGGAGAAAAGGAGGAAGTTGACATACAGCAAGACGACGTTACAGTCAATATGGATGGACTCATACTAATCATTAACTTCTCACATAGAGTGAGAGACTTTATGTGTAGTTGCATGAAATATGTAGTTGTGGTCAAACTCCTGGGACAGTTTATCTGGCAAGACATACTATATACAAAGATATGCTCCATGTGGAGGCCAACTGGAAACTTTAAGCTTACCAAGCTTGAAAGAGGGTGCTACATGGTTAAGTTTGAGAACGATTTTGACTACCAGAATGCCATATTAGGGGGCCCCTGGGTCGTGCTCGGTCACTACCTAACGGTGCATCCATGGGAGCCTTCCATCTCATCGCTGAACTTAGAGATCAAGCAGGTTTATGGGTGGGTTCGCCTTCCAGGTCTTCCCTACCATTACTATCACAAAAGCATCTTAAGAGCAATTGGGGAAGTCATAGGAAAGGTCCTAAAGATAGACTACAACACAGAAGGAGTAGACAAAGCGCAGTTTGCACGACTAGCAGTCAAGCTGGACCTTACCAAGCCCTTAGTCTCGATGATCAAATTGGACGGTGCAACACAACTGGTTGAATACGAAGGGTTGCCAACCATCTACTATGCTTGTGGTCGATACGGGCACCTTGAAGCAGTATGCCCATTGAGATCCCAGCAACAAGGCCAGGAAACTCAGAACCCACACCGGCCTGAGACAGGTCCCACGACAGAAGCAACAGCACGTGCTGAGAGAGCGCGTGAGGATCAAGTGTACGGATCCTGGATGAAAGCCCCATCTCGTGCTTGGAGAAATGGGAAGGGAGGAAGACGATCATCTGACAGCATCACCCCTAATAGCATTGCTAGAGGCAACAGGTTTCAAACGCTAGCTACCTCGGACGAAGATACCTTGCACCAAACGAGCAATTCTAAAGCAATACAGAAGGAGTACATAGTAGTTGAGCAACCATCTGACACCTCGAGAAGCAAAGTAACAAAAAGACAACCTATGAAGTCGACCACTGCGAAAGGCAAGCGTCCAGAGCAAGGAACAACCATAAAGAAACAAGGGCCTCAAAAACAGAACATGGATAGTATATTCGAATCCTCGGCATACAAAGAAGAGCGGGTCCACACAAAATTAGACCCAGTAAAACATACTGCCATCTCCTTGACTAACTCCCGAGTAGCGCTTGGCCCAATTAAAGCCAAGCCCATGAAGGTCACTAGGTCAACAGCACGGAGAACCAACCTCACCCTTAGTACAGGCAAAGAGAATTATGGGCCAAAACCTCCTGACTTAAGTACACAAAAAGGGGGGTTCAAAGTGCAAACCTCATGTAAAGTTAAGAATTACAGAGCAAAACACAAGGACGCAATTAGTACTCTGTCAGAGGAATTAACCAGAGCTCTAGCTGAGGCATTGGGATCTTCTATTACCTCTGACAAGGAACCAATCTTTGCTGAAGCAATTGAAAACTCTTTTGAAGATGAAGAGATGCCTTCTTGCTTCGAAATAGAGCACTAATTCAGCTTTAAATCATGAATAAAACATTCCTTGCGTGGAATTGCCAAGGAGCTGCGTCTAATTGGTTCCTTAGAGCCTTGCGCTCACTTTTGAAAGATTACAGACTTGATGTAGTAACGCTGGTTGAGCCACGAGTCTCAGGAGCGAAAGCTGATGCTGTTATTCATAAATTAGGATATCCAAACTCCCACCGTGTTGAGGCAGTCGAGTTCTCGGGAGGAATCTGGATTCTATGGAAGGATACAGTCACACTCAATGTAATCAAGAACCATAAACAAGTTGTACATGCTTCTGTCAGCTCAAATGATATGAGTGAGCCCATCCTACTCTCAGCTATTTATGGAAGCCCGCAGCCTTTATTAAGGGAACAACTCTGGCAAGAACTCACTACTTTTGTTAACAACGTTAATGGCCCATGGCTCCTGCTCGGAGATTTTAATGCCACCTTAAGCGAAGATGAGAGACATGGTGGAGTACAACGTAGTCAAAACGGTTGCCATAAATTCAGGAAAATGATGCAGGAAACTGGACTAATGGACTTGGGATTCTCTGGGCCAAAATTCACATGGCAGCAAGGTGGATTAATGGTAAGACTTGACCGAGCCCTTTGTAACAGTTCGTGGATCGATGTCCTCCCTCATACACAAGTCCTACATTTGCCCAGAGTGTAAAGCGACCACGGACCACTATTAGTCAAACAAGTTGGGCTCATTGCTCAAGCCTAAAAACCTTTTCGCTTTGTTGTGTCCTAGACTATTCTCCCTGATTTTGTGGATCTAGTGAATCAAAGCTGGGTCGGCTATCAAAGCCTAAGCCACAATATTAAATCTTTCACTGAAGAAGCCCAGAAGTGGAACTTTGATGTCTGTAGTGCAATCAGCAAACAGAAAAATAAGCTCCGTCGTCATATACTAGGGGCACAGAGAGCGCTTGAGAGCCAACCTTTCTCAACTATGCTACTTGATTTAGAGCGTACTCTAATATTAGATTATGAATCTCTTTGCCTGCAAGAGGAAATACTTTGGATGCAAAAGGCCAAAACACAATGGATCTAGAATGGGGATCGCAACACACGATACTATCACACAAAAGCACTGATCCGAAGAAGGCAGAACCAAATACTTATGCTTCAGACTGACGACGGTGCATGGGAGGCTGATCAGTATCGCCTATGCTCAATGGCAACAAACTACTTCCGTGAATTGTACTCTTCAGAACTTCCCCTTTTAGATCTGCAGCTTTATACTGGTACGTTTCCTCCTCTTCTAGAGCCCATGCAACTTTTACTTGAGTGTCCAGTTACCAAAGAAGAAACTAAACGTGCTCTGTTTGATATGCACCCCCTTAAATCTCCGGGAGCTGATGGCCTTCATGCTTTCTTCTTCTAAAATCAATAGGAAGTAGTAGGCGACTGTGTGTTCAAGGAAGTAAAAGCAATCTTTGAAGGAAAGGAGATAGACCCCAGTTTCAACCGCACCCTCATAGCTCTGATCCCCAAGAAAGAAAGTCCCCAGACCCTGAA